CGATCTCGGGAACCACACGAGCTAAGGGGCTGAAAGTCTGTAGGGATATTCCCTGTGCATGTTTTAGCTAAAGATTTCAAATCCAGCCTTCAGGTATGTGTGGTACTCACGTAAGGGCGTATGAAAGATTTAGGGGGGAACTGCTAACTCGGGTACCAGGAAAGCTAGAAGGCTGAAATTTTGGGGGAATGTTCCCTATCCAAGTAAAACTCAAATATTTCAAATCCAGCCTCAAGCTATGCATGGTACTCACGTAAGGGCGTATGAAAGTCTATGCAAGAAAATTACTAACTCGGCAACCAGAAGAGCTGAAAGGCTGAAATTTTTGGCGGATGTTCTGTCCACGTACAATTTAAAAATTTTAAATTCAACTTTTCAAGCACGCGGAGTAGCCGAGTACGGGTATGTGAAGGTTTTGGCGGGAAAATTGCTAACTCGGTGACCAGAAAAGCTGGAAAGCTGAAATTTTGAGGGAATGTTCCCCGTCCAAATACAACTTAAGTATTTCAAATTCAGCCTTGAGGTATGCGTGGTTCTTAAGTACGGGCACTCAAAAGTTCTGACGAAAAAATTTCTCACTGAACAGCTAGTTTACTTTTAAATAACAACTGTTAAGTGGAAATTGTACATTTACTGTGCAAAATTTATGGTGATGTATGGTAGTGACCGCAAAAGGTAGGTGCAAAGCAACAGCCATTCATACACTTAATGACCTGAGTAATTCAAGTCCGCTGCAAAAACGTATGATCGCACGAGCCCGCCCGGTGCGTTCCAGCCGTAGATCATCAGCTGAGCCGAGCCGAGCCGAGTTTTTGTAATTGCCGGGCTGTGGACGGGACAGAAGACACGGTTGTGAGTGGGAGCCGGCAGGAGTTACGACCTTACTTCCTTACCAGCCCCTTCACCTCTGTCACCTCACATTCGCTTTCAACCTGAGACGGGATACCCGCCCTCCTCTCGCGTGAGGGGAGGGCGGGTATTCCTGGGCAGTCTTGGGCAGCTGAATTTGAAATTTCTCTACCATACATGGATGGGGAAC